GGTGTTCCAGGCACGTCCCACCGGGAGGAGACCCAGGACAGGATGGATGGATTGATGGATGGTTGGATGGAGGATGGATGGATGGATGGATGGATGGATGGATGGATGGATGGATGGATGGATGGATGGATGGATGGATGGAGGATGGATGGATGGATGGATGGATGGATGGATGGATGGATGGATGGAGGATGGATGGATGGATGGATGGATGATGGATGGATGGATGGATGGATGGATGGAGGATGGATGGATGGATGGATGGAGGATGGATGATGGATGGATGGATGGATGGATGGATGGATGGAGGATGGATGGATGGATGGATGGATGGATGATGGATGGATGGATGATGGATGGATGGATGGATGGATGGATGGATGGATGATGGATGATGGATGGATGGATGGATGGATGGATGATGGATGGATGGAAGGATGGATGGATGGATGGAGGATGGATGGATGGATGGATGGAGGATGGATGATGGATGGATGGATGGATGATGGATGGATGATGGATGGATGGATGGATGGATGGATGATGGATGGATGGATGGATGGATGGATGGATGGATGGATGGATGGATGGATGGATGGATGGTTGGATTGATGGATGGTTGGATGGATGGATGGATGGATGGATGGATGGATGGATGGATGGATGGATGGATGGATGGATGGATGGATTGATGGATGGTTGGATTGATGGATGGTTGGATGGATGGATGGTTGGATTGATGGATGGATGGATTGATGGATGGTTGGATGGAGGATGGATGGATGGATGATGGATGGATGGATGGATGGATGGATGGATGGATGGATGGAGGATGGATGGATGGATGGATGGATGGATGGATGGAGGATGGATGGATGGATGGATGGATGGATGGATGGATGGATGGATGATGGATGGATGGATGGATGGATGGATGGGAAAGGGGTGGATGGATGGGGGATGGATGGATGGATGGGTGGATGGATGGAGGATGGATGGATGATGGATGGGTGGATGGATGGGTGGATGGTTGGATGGGAGGTGGATGGATGATGGATGGATGGATGGGTGGGTGGATGGGTGGATGGATGGGGGATGGATGGAGGTGGATGGTTGGATGGGGGAAAGGATGAGGATGGATGGATGGATGGATGGATGGATGGATGGATGGATGGATGGATGGAGGGAGGGTGGGTGGGTGGATGGATGGATGGGTGGGGGAGGAATGGTGGATGGATGGATGGATGGGTGGATGGATGGATGGATGGGATGGAGGTGGATGGATGGATGGGTGGATGGAGGATGGGTGGATGGATGGAGGATGGGTGGATGGATGATGGAAGGGTGGGTATGGGTGGAGGATGGATGGATGGATGGTGGATGGATGGAGGAGGTGGATGGGTGATGAGGATGGATGATGGATGATGGATGATGGGTGGGGGGATGGATGGAGTGGATGGATGGTGAGGAGATGGATGGATGGATGGAGGATGGGTGGATGGATATGGATGGGTGGAAAGGATGGATGGGGATGGGGGTGGAGGATGGATGGAGGAGGTGGATATGATGGATGGGGGATGGATGATGGAGGAGATGGGTGGATGGAGGGTGGATGGATGAGGATGGATGGGGGATGGATGGTGATGGAGGATGGATGAAGGAAAGGTGGATTGAAGGAGGGTTGGGTTGATGATGGTTGGATGGAGGTGGAGGATGGTGGGTGGGATGGGGGGAGGATATGGATTGATGGATGGGTTGGATTGATGGATGGTTGGAAAGATGGAGGTTGATTGATATGGTGGATTTTGGGTGGTTGGAGGAGGATGGAGGTGGAGATGGGATGGAGGATGGATGGGGTGGATGGAGGATGAAGGATGGGTGGAGGATGGATGGATGGATGGGTGGAGGATGGAAGGATGGGTGGAGGAAGGATGGATGGGATGGAATGGATGGATGGAAAGGTGGATGGGTTTTATGGATGGGTGGTGGAGGAGGGTGGAGGATGGCTGGGGATGGTGGAGGATGGGGGAGGAAGGTTTGGTGGGGAAGATGGTGGAGGAGGTTGGAATGGGGATGGGAAAAGGGTGGAGGGTGATGGAAGGAGGTGGGTGGTGGAGGGGATAAAGGAAGGTATGGAAGGGGAAAGGGGGATGAAAAAATGGATGGTTTGGGGGAGGGGGATAGGGGGGTAGGGTGGAAAGAAGGATGGTGGGGATGGAGGATTGGAGGATGGGGATGGAGGATGGAGGGGATGGGAGGAAAGGATGGATGGAGGGAGGATGGGGGATGAGGAGGGTGGAATGGTGGGTTGTGGTGGATGGTGAGGAGGATGGTTGGTTGATGGATGGTTGGAGATTGAGGAATGGAGGAGGAGGGGAGGTGAAAGGAGGATGAAGGAGGGAAGGAAAGGTGGGGAGGAGGTGGAGGAAGGAGGATGGTGGATGGATGGATGGAAGGAAAGGTGGGGATTGACGATTTATGGAAGTGGAGATGGGTGGATGGTGATGGAGGAGGATGTGGGTTTAGGAGAGGTGGAGGAAGGCAGTTAAGGTTGGAAGCGGGATGGGTGGAGGATGGGGGAAAGATGGTGGTGGGGGATGGAGGAAGGAAGGATGGAAGGAGGATAATGAGGAAGGGTGAGAAGGATGGATTGGGATGGATGGTGGAGGAAGGAGATGGATGGATGGGAGGATGATGGGGGTGGGAGGATGGATGGGGGTGGGATGATGGAAGGTAAGAAAGGGTGGAAGGAAGGGGATGGAGGATTGGGGGGATAGGGAAAGGTGTGGATTTTGGAATGGAAGAGGAGGTAGGGGATGGTGGAGGGAAGGTGATGGTGTGGAGGGGATGGATGGTGGTGGAGAAGGATGGAAAGGGGGGAGAAGGATGGTGGATGGTGGAAGGAGGGGTGGATGGAAAGGTTGGTTTTTTGAAGGAGGGTTTATGGAGGTGGAGGATGGTGATGGATGGAAGAGGATGGAGAGGGAGGGGTAAAGGTGGTTGGGTGGTGAGGATTTTAGGAAGGAGGAGGATGAGGGTGGGGTGTTTGGATTGAGGAGGATGAGGAAGAAAAAAAAGGTGTGGATGAGGTTGGGTGAAAGAGGGGGAGGAGGAGGAGGAGGGGAGAGGTGGGTAGGAAATTTATTGAAAGGAATGGAGTAGGTAGGATATGAAGGAAGGATGTGGAGGAGAGGAGGTATGGGTGTAAGGATAAGAAGAAAGGATGGGGAGAGGATGGGAAGATGATAGGAAATGGCTGGGATGGATATTTAGGTTAGGGGGGAAAGATGGATGGATGGATGAGATATGGAGGATTATGATAGGATGGGGAAGGATGAAGAGGGGTAGGATTGGTGGAGGATGGAGGGATGGATGGAGGAAGGATGGAGGTGGATGGATGGAGGGTGGATGGAGGATGGTTGGATTATGGGTTTTATGGAAGGAATTGTAGGAAGGAAGGTGATTGCGGAGGATGGTGGAGATGGATGGAGAAAGATGGAAGGGGTGGAGATGGATGGAGAAGGAGATGGATGGAGGGGGAGGATGATAGGAGGAGGAGTGGATGGTTGGGAAAAGGTTGTGGGAAAAGGTGGAGGGGATGGAAGGTGGTGGGAAGGAATGAAAAGTTTTTATGTTTGTATTGGTAGGAATTAATGATTAGGGATATTATGGAGGATTAATAAGGGGTATTAAAATGGTTATTATAGTGGGATTAGGTTTTATGATTATGTATAGAAATTTATTATATATAATTATAAATTAATGTAATGAAAATGATTTATTGATTATTTATTATGATATATATGAAAGTGATATATATAATTATTACCCGGTATATATAAAAGATAGGTATATATTATTTAAAAATTATATAAAGGGGGGAAAATTCAAAATTATTATTATTATGATTATTAGGGAGTTAGAAGGGCTTTTAGGAGGGTAGCGGACCCCCCCCAAAAACACCCAACCCAGCCCCCCGCGAGCAATTTACCCCGCCGCGGCCCCAACGCCCAACCAAACCCTTCCCCCCCCCTCCCCAAATCCCTCCCACTAGAACGTGAAGGAAATTAAAGCTTAAAACTGCTTGGCAGGCATGGTGCAAATCCCCCAACTCTAGATCCAGGCCCAATGACCTAAGAATGCGGGGTCAGGCTTAATCCGAAAGTTACGCCCCCCCCATTTTTCTTTTCTTTCAATAATGACCCTGTTTTTTACCCTAAAACAATCCTTTTCCGTTGGCTTACCGGGGCCGCTCCCTGGTTTCATTCTTCTTTTTGGGAGTTCCCCAAATTTAAAGTTTGGAACACTTTAAAGCACTGATCTGGCCGCTCAGTTTGAGAGCGCTTACGTTGTTCTTCTCTTGTTTTTTTTCTGTCTTTGTGAGAACTTGTTCAGTCCAATCAGATAAAGTTCTAAAGACAGATAGAACTGACCCATTTTCTTTCAAGTCCTTCTTTAGGCAAAGCCAGAAACCCTGTTGACTCTAGCATTTCTCTTTTGCAGCATCTCTTCATTTGTATGTTTTCTACAGTGTATTTATTATGCTTGCAGCACCTTTTCTACAGGCTGCGCTTTTACGTCTTCCCAGAGTGTTTGCAGCCTTCAGCCACCGAAGTGGCATCTAGTGGCTTCCGAATCTGTAAAGCAGAAGTTGAAGTGCACCAGCTCTAGTGCAGCGTGTCAGGGTTAGGAAGTGTGAAATAAGTTGACAACTCTATGAAAGTTCCTCCACAGCAGAGTTTTAACATGCCTTATTTGGGAAGGCTCTTGCATGTTATGAAAAAAAAACATTTCATTCTCTCTCAGCTGTGAAAGATGAAGAAATCCCTTCATATGACACGTCTTTAAAAATGAAATCTGGGTATTTTGTTATGTAAACATGTCCTGTGTAGTTAGGAATCTAGTCCAGGATATAGAATGAATTGTTTCAAAAAAAAACAAAAGAAAAGCAGCTGTCAGCTACGGTGGTGGGGGACTAATGATGTGGGGTTGTTTTTCAGCTACAGGGTCTTCACGTTAACATCAGCTGAAGCTAAATCATCACAGTGCTTGCTCTGCTCTTCGACTTAGATGGATTTATAACAGCAGGAAATGGCTTCCATAAAGAGTGGCCTCCGTAAGTAACTGTATTTTTTTTTTTTAAGATGTTCTTAGATTCTGATAATAATTGTTGATTTTAATGACTTACTGTTGAAAATAAATAAATCAAGGGATTGTGGATATTTTGAACTTCTTTGTTCCCTCTCAGGTATCCAGGGGGATGAAAACCTTCAGTCCATGCTGGTAGGGACAGTGATGAGGAAAATTAAGTCCCGTACTTGGAAAAAACAACGATACTTCAAACTCCAGGATGACTTCATGACCATCTGGTACAAGTCCAAGAAGGCTGGCAACGCCCACTCTACCTGTGAGCTCTGAGGGTTTGGATATACTTTTACAATCTGCATAGTAATATGCATTGCCTTAGCTAGCACGAGCTGTGTCAATCCTTACCTTACCCTAACTTACCTCACCCTACCCAACCATCCCTTACTAAAACATAACCTTATCTTACCTAACTGTACCTTACCACCATGAAATTACCTTACCCTATCCCACATTACGCAACATTACCCCTACCTTACCTTTCCTTACCCCACCTTGCTATTACCTTACCTTATCTGACCCTACCTTACCTTTCCCTACCTTACCTTACCTAACCTTAGCTTATCTTCCCTAACCATAACTTTACCCTACCTTACGTTACCCTACTCTCACTAATCAAACCCTGACTTACCTTCCCTTAATTTACCTTACCCTACCCTACCTAACCTTACCTTATGCTACCTCTGGGCACAGATGACAGTGCTGCTTACACCCGGCTGTTGTGTCCAGTTTCTGTCAGCGATGTGGAGGTAGTGCGGGAGGGCCATCAAAGTGAAGTCCTGCTCAGCACCGCAGACGAATTCCCTGCTAACCGATGCTTCACGGTGGTATTCCGCGGACGCCGGGGAAACCTGGACCTAGTGGCCGAGTCAGCTGAGGAGGCCGAGTCCTGGATCAAAGGCATTAGGAAGCTAATTGAAAACCTGGAAAACATGGGAGAAAGGGAAAAACTGGACCAGTATCCTTTGGCAAGAGTTGGCTTTCTCACGCATTAGAGTTTGCTGAATTTGTTCCAACCTTCACTACTTTGTAAATTGACAGGGTTACAAATATTTGATGAAGAATGGGTCAATTAATTGAAGAATTATGTCCAACAAATCAATGGTTAAACGGGAAAAGTAATGGTATCATAGAAAAGCTATAGAGGAGTAGGTCAGGAACAAGCACATCCTGGTGATGTGTTGTGTGTTTAGCAGCTGCATCCAAACCTCCTTATCAGGTACGATTCCTAGCATGCAGCATGCAGAATTCAGCTACTCATACTCACTCTTGGCTTAATGTGTGATTTTAATGTTATGTCACAGGTTGTACATGTTGGGATAAAATGCTGAACTGATGCTACTATAATTTACAGTGGCCAGTGGAGTGGCCAATGGGGTGGCCAGTGCAATGCCATTTTGTGCAATAGTGTGGCCACCCCCTGGTGGCGCCACTGGACAGAAACCCAGGAGACTATTGCTTCTTTAAGCACTGTTCCCAGATGGATATGGGACTGGTTCAAGAAGGCCGACAAGAACAACGATGGCAGGATGAACTTCAAGGAAGTGAGAGATCTCTTGAGGATGATGAATGTGGACATGAATGAACACCATGCCCACCGTCTGTTCACTGTGAGATCCTTTTTTTCCCGCAAAGGACCTGTAGTTTTCACAGCCATGCTTTGATCTTTCTTTCTTTTGTTTTTGCATCAGATGGCGGATAAATCTCAGACTGGCGCCCTCGAAGGGGATGAGTTTGTCTTGTTCTACAAGATGTTGACACAGAGAGAAGATATTTTGAAAATTTTCCAGGAGTACTCATCTGATGGTCAGAAGTTATCCCAGAGCGACCTAGAGGACTTTCTGAGAGTGGAGCAGTTGGAAGGGGGTGATATCCAACACCGCGTTCAGGAGCTAATTGACCGCTATGAGCCCTCAGACACAGGTACATACTCAAGAGAACTTCTGTTTGCCACCTTTGCCTAATTGAATTACACCTAATTAAGTCCCTTTTGTATTCCAGCAAAGCTGCTGAAGGCTATGACGTTTGACGGTTTCTTGATGTACCTCGGTTCGGCTGAGGGCTCTATTTTCAGCCCACGGTGCAGGGACATCTTCCAAGACATGAGCCAGCCGCTGTGCCATTACTTCATCTCTTCTTCCCACAACACGTATCTGATGGAGGACCAGCTGAGGGGACAAAGCAGCGTGGAGGGATACATCAGGTAGCTCTGCAGAATGTAGTGCTGCTGTTTGATACCTGCTAACCATGAAGTTAGCATGGCAGTGGAATCAGGTAGGTGTAACTTTTGTTCGGTCATTGTTTAAACCCCTCGTCTTCAGGAACATTATCATCTCATTCAGTGAGTTTTATAAATAAACTGAATGACTGGAAAACTGGCCTGTCTTCAAGATAAATCTGAACACATATGTTAGCTTTGTGGACCGTTTTCACTCTCTGACTCTCTGGCAAATTCACTACTTGGTGGAACTGTGCCACTCTCTGCTGTGTAGAAAGGCCTTTATCTGGGGGGTTCTATGCACACCTACTTCAGGGAAAGGTTTCCCACGGTGGAAGCATGCTTTTTGTTTCTCTGAGTTTGACCGTGAAGAAGAGTTTCGCAGGGACCTCACTCATAGCTAACCTTAATTGTCCACATTTTTCAATGGCAGCACAGATTTCTAGAAGCTCTGATTTGATTAATTCAGTTTCATTATTCTCATACTGGGATTAACTGGAGAGATGAGCTTTGCCGTAATGTTTTATCTCTGCTGATGACCCAACATTAGAGGATAAAAGATGGATGTTTCTTCATTTTTTAAGGGCTCTTAATCGAGGTTGTCGGTGCGTTGAAGTGGACTGTTGGGACGGTGCCAACGGAGAGCCCATCGTCTATCATGGACATACATTTACCTCCAAGATACTCTTCAAGGATGTGGTCAATGCAGTGGAAAAATATGCCTTCAAGGTAGCATCATCTCTCATTTATTGTCTTCAATTCAAACATTTATTATTGTGCAGTGATGGAACACAGAACTTCCCCTTAAATAGTGCGACATCTCTGGCAAAGTGGCTTAAAGAGTTGATTTTGTCAGTAATCTTGCAAAGCCAACACCTTTATTCCTTTGTTAACTGTAAGCATGAAGCCTTCTGCAGAAGTAAGTTAGGGCATGTGCCCATGAGCATGGCAGGTTTGTTTGATCTGTGCCACATGCTAAAAGTAGCGACAAAGCAACAAAGTGGGCGTCTCATGCAGACAATATGCATGTGACACATGCTTAGTTATTGTTAGAGGTGATAGCAGCAAGTTCAACCCCTGCCAGTCAGTAAGTGGCAAAGTTGTATTTGCCTGTTCTCCATGTGTACTGTTTGCTTGCCAAGTTTGCTGATGTTGATGATTACCAGACAAAACATTATTGTATGACTTCAGAAGAACATAGTTGTTGAAAATTGGGCTGTGTTTGGTCGCTCTGATTTTGTCCCACTTTAATCCAGTTCTTTTCAATTAAAATTATGGCTTTTTTTTGTTTGCTCTAATTTGAAACAGTTAGCAGTGAGAAGAAGCCATTTTCCAGCTCTATGGCAGAGCTACTTGGCTCTTTCTCACTGACCTTAACCCACTATTCCTCCTGGTACAGAATCCATTCATACTGATGTTTGCATGGTAGCCAGAAGTAAATATATTTATCTATTTTAGGCCACATTTCTTAAAACTTTTTGGTATGCTATATATTTTATTTTGTAAAACTAATACTTTAATTTTTCACCATTCTAGATGTTCTTGATGTATATAGCTATGACTTTAAAGAATGAATCGGCCCAACACTGCAGCCTTGAAGCACCCATTATTTCAGAGGAACAGGTTAATTAGGGTCCATTAGGTCTTCCTTTCCTTCTTTCCTTCCCTCAGGTATCAGAATATCCGGTCATCCTGTCGATGGAGAATCACTGCAGCATCGACCAGCAGAGAGTCATGGCCCAACACCTCAAGCACATCCTTGGGGATAAGTTGCTTAAAGGCATGCTGGATGGCCGGCCTCCGGTCCGGCTGCCTTCTCCTGAGGTGAGCGTCCTGCAGCTGTTCTTTAATGGAGGTTTGGTATGAGAACATAGGGGGTTTAGACGTTCTTTAGCAGGCCTATAATTATGGTGCATGATTGGTCCTTCAGGATCTGACAAGGGGTAGTCCCTGTGTTCCTTCTCTGGTTTGTTCTAATCTCAACTTGTTTGGTCCAACTGCCACAGACTTGAATTTTAAATGTTTTCCTCTTAGTTCAACACAAATTCATTTGCAGATAACGCCAGAGGTTTTAGGTCAAAGTGTTTCATTTTCCTCAGGAACTTAAAGGAAAGATTCTTCTGAAGGCAAAGAAAATCGGAGGCTTAGAGGACAGCTTCAATGGGACCGGGGAAGACCCTCTGACAGGAGAGGTCAGTGAAGAAGACGAGGTGGCAGAGATAGATGAAGATAATCTGCATCGTGAGAGCATCCGGCGACGAGTGAAGGTGGGTGTGTCTCCGATGCAAACCCCAACTGCCCTCCTCTCAGAATTCATCTGTTTTACTGGCTTTTAAGCTGTTAATTGCTTTAAATCGGGAAGTGGGCTGCGATGAACGAATCAAGGTCACCCAAAGTAAAAACACTTTGCTTAATTAAAAGCATTATCATAGATTGATTGCAGCCTGCCCTATTTCTTTTCTGGGTTTTTTCAATGGGTAATTTTAGATCCACATCTAGTTCTGGTATGGGAAGGACCTGAATACGAAAGCTTACTGCGCAAAAGACAGTTCTGATATGGGAAGGACCTGAATACGAAAGTTTACTGCGGCAAAAGACAGTTCTGATATGGGAAGGACCTGAATACGAAAGTTTACTGCGCAAAAGACAGTTCTGAATCAATCAACAAAGGAATCTAAGAGGGAATCGTAGGAGGAGCAAATGTTGCCCAAAGGAAGAAAACAGCAGCAATGAAAACCCAGAAAAGTAAATACTGAGAAAGGAATAGGAGATAATAAAGGAACCAGATCAGTTAGTAGGAAGACATGTGGAACAGCTGTAGCAGAAGGAAGGCAAGGAAACTGAGGCAATGATGTAGCTGAACGATGACACAAAGAGAATAGTAACCAATGGCAACGCCAATAGTGATCTAAGAGAAATGAAACAAGAATGCAAATAACACAGAACCCAAAGTAAAGCTAAACCACTACAGTAGTATGGAAACACCTTACTGTTAATAATGAAAGCAGAAGACTTAAAGGCACAATTCCGACCCAAAGAGTTGGCGCCTATGAGTTATTTTAAATGATTCCTCAGGCCAATATACAGCGATTGACTTCTAGCATGGTAGCATCAATGCCGGTAGCATCAATGCTACCAGCGGGGCTCCCCCCTTCAAATACCGACTATGTTGGGAGAAGATGCACCGTCATTGGACAGGTCTTGTGACCTGGAAGAACGTATTGCTTTACGGCCACAGGCTCTTATATAGTCACAGAGCTAAGGCTTTAGCTCGTCTATTTTTCTCACTGATGGACTACTGGTCATGACTGAGGCAGGGAAAAACTTTAAACCCTCTGAGACTAAAGAGAGAAAATGGAAAAGGGATCGAGTCCATCTTGAAAAGGAGTTTGTAAAATCGATTCTCTTTTTTGAACTATATTATTAGACTGGTAAGTTACAGTCGGAGATCTTTGTTATTATTTCTAATGTTTAGTAGAAGCTAAATACGGACAGAGAAAGCTAGCAGCCTACGTGGCTCTTCACTGGAGCTCCACCATTGGTCCTCCGCCCTGCGCGGCACCGTCCGGCAGCATTTCTCATGGCCTTCCAGCTGAACCTAGACGCATAGCACGGTCCCCCAAGGAAAGTCACGGAGGTTGGCCAGCTAATTGTTCATTTTTGTGACAGCGCTGCAGCGCTTTTGGCCACTAGGGGCACTAGACGCTAAAGTTACAGGTCTAGCGCCTCTAGAAGCCAAAAGTTACATGAATTGACCGCATAAAAGGCGTTTTTAGTGAAAATCACCAGCGATCTGAGGAAATGCCTGGTTCACCTCGGGCAAGTAGACAGCCAATAAGAGGGCAAGGTAGAGACACCCAGGACAGCCAGGTACGCACACAGTCAGTCATCTAGAGAAAACAGATAAGCCAAAATCCATGCTTAGAGACGATGATGGAGGAAGCCAGAGTACCTGGAGAGAACCTACCCCTGCATGAGGAAAATATGCAACTTCCATGCAGGAAGACCATAGATGGATTTGAACCCAAAAACTTGCAATGTGGCTGTGCAAGCCACTGTGCTACCGGGCAGTCCCCTACCTGTCCCTTCATTAAAAATAAAGAGGGTTTGAAAGGCGGAGAGCAGAGACAAGCTGTTGCATAAGGCGATCAGCTTGCACTGTGGTTGGCCACAGAGGCAGAACAAGCATGACTCTGTCCTTTTGGCTTGTGATGCTATTGAACATCAGCAGAGCACGGAACCATTACGAGCAACGCAATAAACTGTGATAGTAACATTACTAAACAATAGGCAACTTTCAAAGAGGCAGATTAGGTATCTTCTATTGCCTTTATTTGATACGACAGTTTTGAAGCAAACAGATGCGTGAATCCCTTCAGTCAGCGGACTATGATACCAACTAGAACAGGGACTGGGTTTGGGGGATGAAGTCTTCTTCCATCTCTACTTGGCCAATAAGCTGCTTCTCCAGGGTTCCTAAACATCTGGAAGGTTGACTTGTTCTTTTATCACATGTCAATTGTTTGGAGGAGTTGAAGCATTTACTCTCTAACAAAGCCTCTAATCCAGGGGTGCTCAAGTCCAGTCCTCATGAGCTACTATCCTGCAACTTTTTGATGCAACCATTTTTAACACACTTGAACCAAATGAGTGGCTCGTTACCATGCCTCTGCTGAGCTACATGAGTGGATTGAGTCTTTAGATACAGGTGTGTTAGAGAAGAAATCCATCTAAAAGGTAAAGGAAGGTAGCTCTTGATGACTGGACTTGAACACCCCTGCTCTAATCTTCAGTTCTTACTAGTGGTGGGGAGCACTGAGATAGGTGGTTTTGATCCCTCCCACTGGACTGGCCATGGCGCTGGTTGAAAATCCTCCTGAGTTTTTCATAGATTCCAGGAACATCTTGGTGTTTTTTAGAAAAGCCCATCTAGGATAACAACAGTTCTTCAGGGATGTCCTAATGTGTCCATGTTCTCTTATCTTCCCTCTGTTGATGGTGGGAATGGTTCTGATGATGCCTAGCTTGTGTTCCATTGGGTGGAGTGAGTCAAAACCGAGGTACTGGTCAGTTTGTGTGGGTTTCCTATAGACTTCTATGGAATCTTCACAGACAGTTTCCTTTAAATTCCCTTAAATAGATATCAGTTTTTAAACTTACATCAGATAAGAAAAGAGAAAGGAGAGGGCGAACTGCCACCAAACAGCTTCAGTGAGATGCTTCTTCTGACCATCGACTATCTTTGGCTGTGTCTGACCGTCCGCCCTAACCTCTAAATCCCTCCATCACTATACAGAGCAGGGACGCTATAATGAACTCAGTTAACTCACCACTTGGACAGATAATCACTACTTTTCACTCCCTGTTGGTCACTCAACTCCGCCTCCCCGCGCTGTTCCTGCACCATTTTTGTTATTTGACAGCGGGCCGCTGTCACAACAACTCCCATGATGGTTTGCGAGGAGAGCTCTTCCAAAGCAATCTTGGATATATCTACTCGTCTGGTGACCATTGATGATCACTGCTTTTCTTCCACTAGATGTTCACACACTCATCTAAAATGGTGTAACCTCTATAAGGTGTTTAGGGCGGACATTTGGAAACAGCCTCTGCTAACGGTTTGACCTCCTGCTCACCCCAGCAAAACATCACACTTCCGTGAGATATAAGTCACCTGTAATGGCTGGCCTTCTGACCAACCATTTAGCTGGTAAAGTGTTCAACTGTGTCTATACGGTCTGTCCTGTCACACAAAGGGTTGTAGGTAATGGAAGGTAGGGGATCCCAATGCTAAATAAATTAGCGCTAGGTCCTAGCCCTTTCCTAGCTTCCAAAACTATTCGGATAGCAACTCTTATGGGGACAGCGAATGGACTTCCAACATTGCTGAAGTGCCCTTACAGATCGAAGGTATTTTGATTGAGCCTGAGTTTGAAAAGAGAAAAGTCTAACCAAGTAGTTGTTGATGGAGATGACCGAATAATGTCTATAAATGACAAACTATGGTCTTTTAGACAAGCATTGTGGGGATGGGTCTGTCTGAGGGTTGATGTCAATGTTTAGTAAAAAGCATCAGCAGGACATTAAATTCCAAGCTACTTGTGTCAGTTCATTCACCAGAGGTCAGGGCGTAGATTTAATACGGAAATATAAGCTCTCCGGGTTCCTTGGTCATGGTTTAGGTGTCCGCTGAGATGGTTGCCTTATAGAGAGGTGAAGGTGACAGTGGCGGAGGGCAGGGATGCCCTCACAGATTGGCTTTCATGTGAAAGCAGCCAGGGAGTCAGGCATGCATGCCGAGTCTCGCTGTGTAGAACATTAGAGCCGAGCAGCCATGAAGGGGAACCCTGTCAGCGCGCCTCCCTGGCACTGTGGCAGGGTATCACTTCCACTCGTGATGGGATTGGTTTCACGCTATCATGTGTTTGGGCTGAAATAAGAGTCATCTGATCTTCATACACAAGTTCAGGAGTGTCCCACAGTGAGCTTGGTGGGGCACAAAGTGGAGTCTTTGGTCAAAATCCAAGCCTTACAACAAGGCAAGAACTCATCCCTTCTTTCCAAAAGCAGTTTTCTTGCTCTTATCCTGTAGTTAATCGTTGTAGGCACTAGTGCATTGGCTAGCTAACAGAAGAATCAAAGTGGTAAGGTAAATATGGTGACATCCGGAGGAGAAGCTAAAAGCCTGGCACTATCACGCTCTGTCGGGCTTTATCGTTACAGATGTACTGATTTCTGTCCATGCAGGTGTTACAGGTGCTAAAACTGGGGATGCTACTGTTAGCGTTCAAACGGTAGAATTTTCTTTAGGAAAAAAATCAAGACACTAGAAATGATTATCTTGTTCTGGCGACGGTGCATTGGGTGTAGGAGTTTGCCCAGTAATCAGTAAACACATGAAATGATCAACATCATCTAAAGACATATTGCTTGTTCTGTCCCTAATTGTGCCAGACCTGCAAACCTTTTGTCCATGTCCATTGGAAGGCTTGAGTTTTCATCCAGCAGCGGCTTAGCAGGCAGCTAACAGCAAGGAAGCCTTAGGAGACTTTCTCATCCAGTCTGGCTCTGTAAGTTCTGAAGCTCAGAGAAATGTGTTGTTTTTGCAGCAGTTTGGTTCTGAAAAGTCCGCCATCATGACTTATCCTTGATCATTCTGGAGATCTGGGCCAGGATCTCCATGGTGGTCGCCTCTTCCGATGTGAACCCTGGGCAGCTTGATGGAAAGAGGAGAGAGATCCTCTGTTCCTCTGAGCAATTCACACCGCTGTGCCAGTTGCCTTGTGGATCCAGTTGGCTGAGAGGAGGTTGCAGAGCAGAGAAGAGAGGTCTCACAGCTCACAGGATGTTGCTGTTGTAACATGGTGTTACAATAGGTAACTAGTTGGACTGTGTGTATGATAGCCTGATGCGCGCTGTTAGCTTTTAAATACCTAAAATGGAAACAGATCCTCTGACACATAAACAGGTCTTTCACCTCTGCTCTCTATTTTTTTCTGGGTGCAAGGCTTTCCCGTTCAAACATCCTGTCCACTGTATTCTCTGTGTATTGCTTTTTTTACTGAAACATGTGTATATGTGGTGAAATAGCCTCAAATAACGTGGCTCCAATACTATATTTAAGAACTACAATAAAATAGACAACAGTGCCCCCTGCTGTTTGATGTGTATCAGCACCCAGTGTCGGTTCATCTAATGTTTGGACTAAAAACCTTCTTTACTGATGTTAACATTGTTTAATTTATTGAAATATATAAAAAAAAATCCAGTTGTTAAACTTTGTTATCACAAAATGTCCAAGGGGGTTCTGGGTAATCCCCAATATGGGGCGCTGTTAGTAACAGTTAAGCAGTCAAAAATTAGGAGCAATATTTTATGATTAATTAGTGTTAAAAGTTACTCCCCCCCACCACCCCCCAACCCCGCCCAATCATTTTGTTATTCATTCATTTATAAAAATTCATTTAAATACACAAAATGGAAAACTTTCTAAGAAAATGTGAGTAAAATGTTTGACCAAATTTTCCATAAAAGTTAATTTTATTTTATTTATTACTAGTAGCTCAATGACTTTGTAAGTGTTGGGTGTTTTTGTTTCTGGTGTCAGCAGAGGTCCAAGCAGCATTTGTCCAAGGAGCTGTCCGACTGTGTGGTCTACTGCAGGAGCGTGGCCTTCAGGAGCTTCAAACACGCCCGCCTCCACTACAGGTTCTACGAGGTGGCCTCCTTCACCGAGTCCAAGGCCCGCAAGCACCTACGGGAGAATGGTTAGCATCACCACCCATCCTCCATTCATCTGTCCATCATCCATTCATCTATCCGTCTGTCCATCATCCATTCATCTGTCCATCTGTCCATCTGTCCATCATCCATCCATTCATCCATCCATCCACCCATCATCCATCCATCCATCCATTCACCCATCCATCGATTCATCTGTCCATCATCCATTCATCCATCCATCGATTCATCTGTCCATCATCTGTCCATCATCCATCCATTATCCATCCATTGATTCATCCATCCATCATCCATCCATTGATTCATCCATCCACCATCCATTCATCCATCCATCCATCCATCATCCATTCATCCATCCATCCATCGATTCATCTGTCCATCATCCATCCATCATCCATCCATCCATCCATCATCCATCCATCATCCATCCATCATCCATCCATCCATCCATCCATCATCCATCCATCATCCATCCATCATCCATTCATCTGTCCATCATCCATTAATCTGTGCATAATCCATCATTCCATCCATCCATTGATTCATCCATCCATCATCCATCCATTGATTCATCCATCCATCATGCATCCATCATCCATCCATCATCCATCCATCCATCGATTCATCCATCCATCATCCATCCATTGATTCATCCATCCATCATCCATCCATCCATCCATTCATCCATCCATCCATCCATCATAGGCGGATCTACAGGGGTGGCATAGGGGGGCAACTGCCACCCTAAATGACAGCCTTGCCACCCCTGCTGCCACCCCAGTTGGCGGTAGGGGTGGCGAGGCTTATAAATTATGGATCATTTGAGAATTACGACCGCTAATTTCCAATGTCGGACTGCAGTGAATGCAGCACGAGATGACGCGAGAGCGACTGAGACTGATTGTTTTGAAAACCGAATGGGGCAAAGCGAGGGAGCCAGGGGTGATGGGGAGAGGAGAAACGGGATGAAACAGGTAAAAATTGATTAACTATCGAGAAATGAAATCATAATGAAAGCACAATGTTGCTAGCATAGCTGCAATGCTGATTTTGAGATGATAAAAATCAGGTTGCAGATCGTTATTTCTCTATCTATGATGTTAGTTAGGCCTGACGTCTCAGCCTCATAAAGACATATTTTCGGTCAACTATGACAGAAAAGAGACGATCAAGTTTGGTTGGTACTGAAATCAAAACGCACAAAGGCATTGGATCTAAATAAAGTTGTGAAGCGTTTTGCTGAGCAACATGGAAATCACTGCATTCAGCTGTTATAGTCATGATAACTTTATGTTTGCTCTCTGGTGAACCTTTACAGAGCTGTTACATTTTGTTTTGGCCCCTGAGAAAATCTGATATTTCCTTTAATAAAACCAAAAGTGTTAAAAGTTAAAAATGTGATACTGGTGTAAATCCTGCTTAATATGAAGCAGTGTTGTTGTTTCTTTTTTGTATATATAATATGAAACTATCCAGAAATGACCCGTATGAACCTACTCACAAGCAAAATGTATTTTTTTGTTGCTTCTTTTCAGATTTGTGGAGATTTTGATGTAACATACAGAACCCGCCTCTTTGTTAATTTGTTGATACAGCAGTATGGAGGACCAACTCTGCCATATTTAAAAATAAATACAGAAATAAATAAATGCTTAGTAAATAAATAAGCATACAATTGATTGCCACCAAAAATACAAACAACAAATAAATGTAAGTAGAAATTAAATTATACAGCTAGTCATACAGGTATATAACTCTTTTAATTGGTTTCTTTATTTCTTTGCCTTTTTAATATTTACCTTATTTATTTTTTTGTCATTTATTATCTTCAACTTAATTTTTTCATTACTTATATTTTTAAGTATTTATTTATGTGCATGTTATAATATTTTTGTCTGTTTTATTCTTCCTTTGTATTTTTTTACCCTAGTTATTTCTTCGCCGTTATTTCTTTCTGCCTGCCCTTTTAACATTTCTGCCTGCCATTATAATATAATTTCTAATTACATTTATTTGTTGATTGTATTTTTGGTGGCAATTAATTGTATGCTTATTTATTTATTGAACATTTATTTATTTATGTATTTATTTGTAAATATGGCAGAGTTGGTCCTCCATATACAGCTCTATCGACAGCATGATGTCCCTTTCATGTTGCCTTAACTGCTGTATGTCAAGTTACTGAGGAACAAATGGGGTAAATGTGTGTTCAGAGTAAACAATACATGGATGTCTGGTACCTTGTTTGGTGCCTTGACCCATTTATTTCTACTGTGTAGTTCTGCTCACTTTAGTACAGCTCATTCCATAGATCTCTGATGGGTAACTTTTTCTTTCTATCGTTTCTTCTTGTGCAAATGCTGCAAAGCTGCCTCTCTGACAGTCAGTCTCACACATCTGCGACTCAGCACCTGTGTCTTACCTTAATACCTTTCCTGTGATAAGGCCCCTCTAGAAGTAGTGTTATCATTCTTCTATCTCCTATTAAGTGAGATCACATTGTACGATTAATTATTAATATGAACTGTTTCACATGAAACACTAGTACTGTACATACTATTCTCACCAAACTGTGATAACTGTGATTAAATTCAGTGTAAACAAATGCCATATGCTGCCACCCCTAAAAAATTCCTGCCCCCCTCTTGCCACCCCATAAATATTTTTCTAGATCCGCCCCTGCCATCCATCCATCCACCCATCATCCATCCATTCATCCATCCATCGATTCATCTGTCCATCATCCATTCATCTGTCCATCATCCATTAATCTGTGCATAATCCATCCATCCATCCATCCATCGATTAATCTGTCCATCATCCATCCATCCATCGATTCATCCATCCATTCATCCATCCATCGATTCATCCATCCATCATCCATCCATTGATTCATCCATCCATCCATCCACCCATCATCCATTCATTCATCCATCCATCCATCCATTCATCCATCCATCCATCCATCCACCCATCATCCATTCATTCATCCATCCATCCATCCATTCATCCATCCATTCATCCATCCATCGATTCATCTGTCCATCATCCATTCATCTGTCCATCATCCATTAATCTGTGCATAATCCATCCATCCATCCATCCATCGATTAATCTGTCCATCATCCATCCATCCATCGATTCATCCATCCATCATCCATCCATTGATTCATCCATCCATCATCCATTCATCCATCCATCGATTCATCTGTCCATCATCCATCCATCATCCATCCATCCATCGATTCATCCATCAATCATCCATCCATTGATTCATCCATCCATCATCCATCCCTTGATTCATCCATCCATCATCCATCCATAGATTCATCCATCCATCCATCCATCTATTCATCCATCCATCATCCATCCATTGATTCATCCATCCATCATCCATTCATCCATCCATCCATCCATCGATTCATCCATCCATCATCCATCCATTGATTCATCCATCCATCATCCATCCATTGATTCATCCATCCATCATCAATCCATCCATCCATCGATTCATCCATTCATCCATCCATCGATTCATCTGTCCATCATCCATTCATCCATCCATCCATCGATTCATTCATCCACCCATCCATCCATCCATCCATCGATTCATCCATCCATCCATCCATCCATCCATCCATCCATCCATCCAGTCTAGGTCTCTCTTCATTGGATCATTTCCTTCCTAGGGGCAGAGTTCGTGCTTCATAATTCCCAGCAGCTCACCAGGGTTTATCCCACTGGCTTCCGAACAGACTCATCCAATTTCAATCCCCAGGAGATGTGGAACGCTGGCTGCCAAATAGGTGACTACGTCTAAGATTAACTGGTCCATATCAGACAGTAAGTTCTGCTCTGGTTCTGCTAAAGGCTGAACCGGCTCAACCTGAACCTCGTTCACTATTAGTGACCCTATTGAGACATTTGAGGATGAACCATAATAGAATATAATCACAGCAGGCAGACTTTACAGCAGCCTAAGTGAACATTGATCTAGAAACTAGCTGCCAACTGCTGGTGAAGGTGGTGAAGTTCTTGGTTGGTCCGGGACTGGTCCTTGGTTGGCCTTTGGCTGGCCATTGGCTGGTCTGGGACTGGTCCGGGACTGGTCCTTGGTTGATCCTTGGTTGGTCCTTGGCTGGCCCTTGGCTGGTCCTTGGCTGGCCATTGGCTGGTCTGGGACTGGTCCGGGACTGGTCCTTGGTTGATCCTTGGTTGGTCCTTGGCTGGTCCTTTGCAAAGGAAACTAAATATTTATTTAACAAAGTAAGATTTTTATAAATGAGTGAATGACATAGTGAAAAAGTGACATGGAAAAAAAGAACTCCCTTATTTTCTCTTAAAACGTGCTAAATAACCATAAATATTGTTCCTAATTTTTGCGGCTAAACTTTTCAAACGGTGCCCCATAATTTTGTGTGTGAGTTGTCGTTTTTTTATCAAATCACATTAAAGGTAAGATTTTATGTAATCTTTAATAAAAGTTCATCAAGTTACGATAGTGATAGGAGGTTGTAAAAAAAAGTCATCAGTGTACAGTGCTTACGAAGCAGTCGGCCATGTTGGACCTGCTGATTGGTTTAACCAGCTTTATGAACTTGGTGACCTTTTTTCCTCCGTTTTCCTCCCAGTTGCACTGAACTTCCAGACAGCTGGAGAGGGGATGGATCTAAACGACGGCCTGTTCAGTCAGAACGGCCGCTGCGGCTATGTCCTGAAGCCCAGCTTCATGAGAGACAGCGACAGGAGGTTTGACCCCGACCTGCCTCAGAGACGCCATGACTACCAACCCGTCATCCTTACCATCCAGGTAACGCCGCCTAAAGGTGAAATCCTTCGTTCTGATCGGTCGCCCCACATTTATTGGAGCTGTCTCACTGACCTCCCATGAAGGTGATCAGTGGCCAGCAGCTGCCCAAAGTCAACATCAAGGAGGACTCTATAGTGGACCCTCTGGTCAGAGTGGAGATCCATGGAGTTGCGATGGACCAGGCCAAACAGGAAACCAGATATATCGAGAACAATGGTACCACACACTGAGCTTCTTTCAGACAGCTGTACATCTATTTTCATTTGAGTTTTTTTTCAGAGACCTCCCCTCCTTTCAAGTATTGGGGGGGTCTCTGACCTTTTCTTTGGCCTAGGGGCAGAATGACACTATGCAACACCTCTGAACACCAATGGTGTTTTCCATTATTGAACTTGTGTGTTAGTCAGGGATTGTCCATAATCAATATCATGTTCAAGGACAGTCCCCCCAAGTCCCAGGCCATCGTTCTCAGGAAACTAGATTGTTCTGGAAATAGATGGATTGAAGATGTCATGGTGAAGAGAGAGCCGAGAGAAAAATGCAGATGTCTTGATTTAGCAGTCGGTCTGCATTTCTACCCTCACCTAGTTTATCAGTCGGTCTATGTTCCTACCCTCACCTGATTTACTGGGTGGTCTACATTCCTACCCTCACCTGATTTACCGGTCGGTCTGCGTTCCTACCTTCACCTGATTGATAGATAGATAGATCTAGATTCGATCCAGCATAGATCTAGTTTAAATGCAGTGTAGATCTAGATTAGATCCAGGATAGACCTAGTTTAGATCCAGCATAGATCTATTTTAGGTCCAGCATAGATCTGATTTAAATGAGGCACAGATCTAGATTAGAGCCAGGATAGATCTAGTTTAGATCTATCATAGATATATTTTCGATCCAGTGTAGATCTAGTTTGAATACAGCATGCATCTAGTTTAGATTCATCGTAGATCTAGTTTAGATCCAGTGTATATCTAGTTTAGATCCAGCATAGGTCTAGTTTAAATCCAGTGTGGATTTAAACTAGATTACTTCCAATATAGAGTAAAATGGTTGCTAGTACCCGGTTTCATCCCTGCAGCCTCCACTCTGGGTCCCTGAGCAAGACACTTAACCCAACAGTGCTCCCCGGGCGCCACACAGTGGCAGCTCACTTCTCCCAAAGGGTACGGGTTAAATACTGAGGGTGAATTTCTCCAGAAAGATATAAATAATAATAAATAATGTTCATTTATAACTAGCATAATGCTGCCACCACTCTGTGGGGATTAAAATTCCAGAGGGTTGTTCAGTGTTACCTTCCCCCCTCATCCTGCAAACATCAAGTTTGTTCTCATGTGGCCCAGCTCTTCCACACAAACTATTAATGGATCGACAGCAGCAACATTGTGCCAAATTTTCACAAAGCTGAGATTTGTGGAGCACTTGATTAACAGTTGTCCTCTCCGGCTCCACCAGACAAAACATTGAAATGTTTGTACAGGAAGGGTGTGAACACTTCCTTACCATGTGTTCAAGCAGCTGATAGTCTGATGTCTTCTGTCCAGGATTCAACCCTCTGTGGAACGACACTCTGCGCTTCACCATCCACACCCCTGAACTGGCTTTGGTCCGCTTCGTGGTGGAGGACTATGACAAGACATCGA